TTACTACTCTCTTCTTTACTCTTTTTCTCTTTACTCTGCATCTCTTTCCATCATTTGAATATACGCTTCTCTATTCTCTATCCCCTACTCATTCTCTCTTTCACACATACACATGCACATACACATATATACAAATATACATAAATCTATACACATGAGCTCTAGATAAAAGAGTCGGTCAATAAAGCCTTTTGGCCCTTTTTCGCAAATGGTCAAACTTGTGGCCGCACATTCACGAATCATTAAATTTATTTGATCGATATATACAATCAATAAATCACTGCTGTCATATATTTACTGCTTGTGATATTCTTTCCCTCTGTTTCTCGATACGTCTTCATCTTCTTTTTGTTCATTTACTTCTTTTATCCTTTCCCTCTTTTCCCTGATTCTTCTTCTTCTATCGGAATTGACATTTTTCTTCACAAATCGATTACATAGATTATGCTCCTTATTCTTTAGAAGATAATTTCACTGAGTGAGAAAATATTGCACCAAAATTTCAATGCTTCGGAAAGATAAAAAACACTTTTGCGGCAGATGGGACAATTTTCCGTATTGGTGTCTGTGTCTCTAATCGCATTTAATGAGGACGTTTTTTTTTTTGTTTTTGTTTTTTTTTGGGCTTCCCACATAGGCAGATGGGCAGAATAAAAGACTGATTATAATTTGTTTTGTAACAAGAAAATGAACTTAATCGTTTTTACCTAAAGGTCTAAGTTTAGCCACCAAAACCCAAGCAAGTGATAAGCATTAATCTAAATTCATAAATTTGAGTAAAGGAAATATGGTTCGCGAATAGAAGCAGTAAACAAATTCGTTTAAAAGCTCGGCTATTAAGCTAGACATAAAGTCACTTCCTTCGTATAACATTTACTTTATTACTATATCTATATTTTTGAGATGAGGTATCATGTACACTATTTACATTATTCAGTCTTCATCTTCGTTGCCATATTTATCACAACGTTTCGGCCGTTGTACGCTCCGGCCTTCTTCAGGTGGTTGGAATATCGAACTGAATCCTTTATTTCTCTCGCTGAGGTAGACTGTTCTAGTTCCACGTGACATGTCTAATGCATGTAAGTTATCATTTATCTCCTATTAATTCCCAAGTTCTCCACCGCCTTAACCAGGTATTGAACTCACATGCATCTAACCAACGCCTTTATCCACTGTGCCATGTGTCCTTAAGGACATCAGTGTATTAATTTCTGTGATTTATAAACTTAATGTCTTCAGCAATCATTTTTTTTACCAGTGCTCATATTGCAATTTTGCTGTTATCATTGAATTTCTCTGGCGCTCTTTATTACTGGTTCCCATATTGTATTCATTTCTATGCTTGGTCGGCTCAGGAGATATTTGTGGCCTAGCATATGTGCTGATTCCTTAAGTTTACGAATTTTCGCCACGCGGGCATATAGTATAGAGCGAAATTGACAGAAGAGTGATACTTTCCCATCCAAAAATGAAAAAGTGATCTTAGAGTCATTGAAAAAAGAATGAAATTAATTATCAAACTTATACTTTGAGAACTTTTACAACAAATGCCAAAGACTTGTGCTGCCTTAATCAAAGCTAAAGGAGGTTATTTTGACGAGAGCAAAATTTAATCATAAAATGTTTTTTTTATTTTATATATATATATATATATATATATATATATATATATATATATATATATATATAATTTAAAAGATCAAATGCAGATCAAATATGAATCAGAATCCGACAGGATGATAAAATAAATAACAAATAAGAAACATATATCCATCTAACATGTTAAATTGATATACGTTTCTGATTTGTTCTTTATTTTATTGATAACACACTCCGAGTTTCATACAAACCTGCAATCTTCAGGTACTGAATATATTCTGACCATTATGTGTTTCCCGTCTTGTGGTGAACATTTAAAATTGTGTGTTAAGATTTTTTATTTAATTATTGTTGCCTACAATATTTTATTTATTTATAATTTATATCATTCAAATTTTTAAGTTCGAAAGACGAAGAATTAAAGAAAAATAAATAAAAATAAAAATTGAAAATTATTTTAAGTGAAAATTTGAAATTCAGTAAACAAATTAAGTATGAAGGGATAATTTGCATAGAACACCATAGTTATAGTGATTTTCCCACCGTAGCTTAGATGTGGCAATAAAATGCCGTAGTTATAACATTTAAAGTACTGTATAATGGAATAAACTAGTACTCTCGGTGTTAATATAATAATAGGTCGAGACTATATATCTAATGTGTCTGGAACCTAGTGTTATGCTTACAAAGGTAAAATTACGTATACACACCTTATAACTTAATCGAGTACCGTAATATGGGATTATATAAGTGTATAGATATATAAAAAACGTTATTAATGATGAACCCTATGAATATTAATAGGTCTTACATATTATATTAATATTCGTAAAATCTGTTTTGAAATCTATTTTAATCGGGGCAATGTATTTGAGAAGATGTTTGGTTTTAGGTATACATGTAATCATAAATTATGTTCTCGAGTTCAGCAAGTTAAGGTTATTTAAGTGTTTTTATATAATAAGCAAACACACATTGCATCTGTCTCCCTTTCTATTGTACGGTTTAGCCTTCGGGATTATCTCCCATCTAATGGTTTGGTTCTTATAGTTGTTTTTAATCGCCAAGCATACTTTGAAAGTGATGTGCAGCTTTTGTATTTGATATTGCTCAGTGTTATTTTGTGGTAGTAAAAACGCGATTTTCAGCTCCGGATTCAAAGTAGTATTTAACATCATCGTCTAAATTGATCCTAGCTCTTTAGATTATACCTTCAGTCAGGCACTGGCCATTTAATGGGCTGGTTACGTTTTTACGGTAGCTGCATTAACTTTTAGTGGGATTATTATTTAGTGTTTTGTTTGTGTACTTGCTTACTACATTATTGTTATGTTGGGATATATAATTATCTATGTTTTTTGTACGGCTATAACTTACCTTAATATTATTTTTGTTGAAAATCTTGGAGAATGACCAAAGTGTTTGTGAATCAAATTTAGGATAATTCTACCTACATTGGTTTTGGTTTTACTGTTGTATGACGGGTTGAACCATATTATGCTATGTTTGCATTGTTTTAGCTTTTTTATCTTTATTCTTATTTCTTTCTACATAATCCAATTTCACTTTATGGTTGTTTCATTCTAGTGCTTTATTATATCTAGCTTTATTGTCGTCGAATATTTCTTTGTTACTGGAGTTGGTCAATAACCTAAATTGTACTGATGTGTGTAAATTGTCAAGGATCTTTTTATGGTGGTTGGATTTTCTGTCGACTTACCTGTGGTTGTATGAATCGTTAGAGTATGGTTTATACAGGCCCTTACTCAGGTCAAATGTAACGTCTAGGAAATTGATCACTTTAGTGTTGGTATTGGTGATAATGTTTAGTTCATGACCCTTAAAGAATTTAGTTGGGTCCTTTCTCATCCGGTCTGCTTGCTTTGGTCTCAGTTTACGAAGAACTATCCCATCGTCTCAGTATATACTATTGTTTTTATATCAGAGATAAATCTGTTTCCATAGTAAGAGTATCCCTACAAGTTCACATGCTCCCGCAGAATCATGTGCTCCCACAGATACGCAACCCATATCTATCTATCTATATATAGTGTTGTGCTTTTTAAATATTATTATAATCGTTACAAGCATGTGCATAACTAAATTTCACAGTGAATTGGAGTACATGATATAATTCGTTTTAACAATAATTCAGTTCCATTTCCCACCATAATTTGTACTTGTGAACTGTGATTACGACCATCCCTCTTCATCGCCCATTATATCGCATGCTCGATTTTATCACGAAAATTTTAGTAATTTGTCATGCTTTAAACAAGATCTAAAAAAAACGCAACATTACACTATATGTGGTTATATCCTCCAGATACTGAGCACTGTATTGAACACATCAACGATAAACAATTAATTTCTTAATTCAGTCTACTCACGGGAGGAGGGACGATGATCGTCGCCATTTATGGGTACAAACACGAGCTGGAAAATGGGATTGATTTAATTTTTAGTCTGATTATATCACGTACTCAATTTCACCGTAAACATTTTAGTTACGAGCTTATTTGTCACGTTTTAATAAGATCTAAAAAGACATAATATTTCACACAACTTTGCCATTTCTTCTGCTTCAAGACAATCTAGTCAAGTGTCAAACGTGGCATTCCGGTGTCTTCCCTGATTTGGTCTTCCCATCTCTAAGGTGGTGTACGACGTGGCCTTTTTTTACTAGATGAGTTGTCTTTATAGGATCTATACACAAAGCTTCCTCTTTCGTCTTCATTTAATTTTCTTCTTCTAATCAGGGTACTTATGTCAGTCTTTCTACCTAGACTTTTCCTTACGGTACTCATTCTAATTCCGTTTCATATATACATATATATATATATATATATATATATATATATATATATATATATATATATAGCGAGAGAGAGAGAATTAATACAATTAAAAGTTGATTGATGTTATCTTCAGCATCCCGACTCCAGAGTTTCGTAGACGTACTCTCCGGGAATTACTCCGTCCACTCGTCACGGGGTATCAGCAATTGACTGCTTATACTTTTCTTTTATTATTTATATGCACCTTTTCATTGGTGCAAGTTTTTCATCGTGCATGTGTGTGTGCGTGTGTGCCTTCGTGCGCGTGCGCCCATGCGTCCATCTGCGTGTATGTGCGTACATGTAGAATGTGATTAATTGTCCTTTTTTTTTAACTTCACACTCACAACATAACCTTTTCTCTCTTTTTCCTCTTTTCCTTCAATTGTTGTTATTTTGACTTCCGGTTTTCTACACATATTCTTTAGCGTTATGCGCGCGTGTATAACCTAATGCATAATCAATTAAATGAAAGTAATACGGTTATTTTTAACGTACTCATTCTAATACTGTGATAACTTGCTAATCTCTATAAAAAGTTTTACTTTGTCTTCTTTTCAGTCACTTTTTGTTAACAGACCAGCATTGTGTAATTTCCCACCAGTAAAATGGATGTCACGCTTAAAGAACGCTTTGTTGTCGGTAAGGCCTTGTAAAATATCATATATGACATGCAGTTTACTCTGATGTACCAAAAGTAATGGAATAAGTACTTAGTATCATGTAGGTTCTCAACCCTGTAGGCAGACAAAAGTCTGCTGAATGTAGCATCGATTTTACAAGTGGTCGGAATACATTTGGAAATATGTTGATCCATGCAGTTTCAAAAGCTGTCAATAAATTTCCGGTATTTGTAGATGCAGGACCATGCGTGCGAATAGATATCTCGTCCTATAAATGCTTCGATCATGCCGGGTGAACATGGTGGCCAAACTGTTCATCGAACGTCACTAGAATGATCTTCAAACCAATTCTGTCCAACTTGAGGTATCCCGGTGGAATAAACAATCTTTGCTACGGTACAAAAAGTTCAGAATTAGGCGCAAATAGTCACGAAGCACTGCAACGTTGCGGTCACAGGTCAATGACGTGTTTTAGTGAATTCAACCCATTGCAAGTTAACGCAACCGACATCATTATGGGACCACCATCAGCCTGCACAGTGTCTGAGGTCCATGGCCTCATGGGGTCTTCAGCACACCCGAATCGAACCATCAGCCTGAAACAACGGACCATGTTTTATTGCCAATCTATTTAACACTTTCAAGAACCCATGTGATGAGCTATGTCTGACGCCATGGAGTTAACAGGAGCATCCTGTTGGATCTTTTGCTTCCATATCCCATAAAAGCTAAAGAACATTAACCTGACCTACTAGATAATCGTCTGGCAATTAATCCATTGAATTTGTGGAAGGGGAATTAATGTCGCTTATCTGTTATCGCAGACAGTTCTAACTAGACGCTTCTGGTCACAATCATTCAGGACCTAGGGTCGACCACTATGCTGTTCATTGTGGAAAGTAATTCATACTATCAGGTATTTCCAGTACATACATGACACTGTAGACAGGGGGATGTCATCTGTGTGCATAATTTCAGAAATGAAATGACGCATCCGTCTAGTACCCACTATCATTTCCTGTTCGACAATTCACTTCGCTTTACCATGAGTAGTCAAAGCATATCTGATGTATGTCTGGGCATATGATTGACATCAACGTACAGTGGAGCTAGCTACCAATAGTTTTACGTACTGATATTCTATAACTTTTAATAAATTAGTATATGTAGATGAATTCGGTATTTATTCACAGACTCAACAGCTATCAAGGCACGGCTGATGTAGGTCTGGATATTTCCCTGACATAAAGCTAACTTTACATACTGCTATTCTATGACTTTTGGCACGTCTGTGTAATTTATATTAAATAAGTTATTCTGTAAGTTCATAATATATGATGAAGCTGTCTTGAAGTATGTCTATTATAATATAATGATTTTACCATATGTAATTCAGATATCGAAGTATTTCAGATTTGCTATTTTTAATTTTGATTATCATCAATTTAGGGTTAAATTAACCATGCTTTAAATAATCATTTTTTTAATTAATCATATTTAATAAAGTCAATTAAAACAAAAGTCTGAGGGATAAATGTAACTATTAAAGATATTTTTATATAATCAGAGTTCAATTAAGAAAGAAATTTTTTTGTTGAATTTTGTTAATATTTAAATGCATCATCCATGCAAATTAGAGACAAAAAGAGAAACAAATTTATAACAAAAACATAAAAATGAAACGATAGTTGAGACAGTCCCACTTAGTAATAACATTATCTTTAACAAAGACATACAGTTAAAAGGATTTATTTCTATTTTTTTAAGATAGCGCCGCCTGGATTAAATGCAGTTCAAACGATGGCATGCGGCGCATGCTCAGTAGAAAATTGTTTGAAGTCTATGTTCATATACTCCCAGGTAAGTTTTCATTATTTAGACACACACACACATATATATATATATGTGTGTGTATATATATTTAGAAGGGATTTTTTATTAATCCGAATCATTTTTATCACTTTAAACGTTAATTTTAGTGTACACTGATATTTGAATAGACGCTCCGATTATTTATTAAACACTATATTCATTTATTTTCGTCTAGTGGCTTGAATATTCGAGAAATATTAATAAAGAAAAAAATGCACTCTCCGGCAGAAATTGAACCTGCGTACTTCAGGGCAGTGGCAGCTACTGTTAGGCCAGCAAACCTTAACCAACATGGCCACGTAGACCAGGTTCAAATCTTATCGGGGGGTGCAAATCTTTCTTTAATAAGACTTCTGGAACATTCAAGCTGGCGGACGAAAGTAAATGAATATACTGTTTAAGAAATAAACGGAGCGCCTACTCAAATACGAGTATCAACTAAAAATAACGTTATATATATTAGTTTTATATATGAGTAGACATCGAGGTCCACACCCCAGCGACGACAGTCTGTTTCATGCTTAAACGCAATTTTTATGGCCGGAAGATTGCGTTTAAGCATGAAATAGGCTGTCACCTTGATGTCTACTTTTATATTTACAGACGATCTCTGCCTGATATTAATAACCCGTAAATGTAACCTACCTTAAAACTATATTCTTTATCTCTCTCTCTCTCACTCACACACACACACACACACACACACACACACACATATATATATATATATATATATATATATATGTGTGTGTGTGTGTGTGTTAATGAATATAGAATCCTTAAAGATCATTTTTTTATTAATGAAAACTGGTCTGAAGAGATGGACAAGAGTTCCATGAAATAAATTTATTACGACCTGACCTGATAGATTTTTAAGGATTCTATATTCATTATTATATTGCTGTTCTTACATTGAATTTTCTGTGGATTTATATCCTCCTTGAATTATCCCTACTAATCATCTATTGATATATATATATATCTTACTTATTATAAAACGCAGATTGTGTGTGTGTGTGTGTGTGTAACGTTTATATATTGGATCGGATTTCCTACATTTTTCAACCGATTTCAACAAAACTTCACAGGACTACATAAAATTACCTTGTGGTGGTTCTAACAGCGACAAAAATGGGAAAAATATAATTGTTTTTGCACAAAATCAATTTGAAAACACGATTAAGAGACATCGTGAAAATGGAAGGGGGACAACTCACATCGGATTTCCTATATTTTTCAGCCGATAAAACAAAACTTCACTTTTTTTTTTTTTTTTTGGCAGGTAGTGTTTCTTATTCTCTTGCACACTTTTTTTCTTTATTTTTAACATTCAGAATGCTTTAAAATTCCATTTACAAGACAATTATTTATAATAAAATTCTATTCAATTGGGAGACTCATAACGATTGAAAACAATGTTTTTGTTTGAGTTTGGGTTTGACCAATTCGTAAAAAATAAAAAAAAATATAAACTAATTAAGACATGCGTGTCCGTCAACCTTAAACAATAATCTAACGATCTCTACTGATTGTACGAATACAAACATCGGATAAATTCTTTATCTTTAGGGAAAGATAATGAAATCTAAACATACACAAGTCCTAATTAAAAATAATAACCGGAACAGGAAACTACTTTAAATACACATGGTGTCCAATTTTTTTACTGTATTCAATAAGTAAAAATCATAAATTGTTAAAGATTATTATTACAGAAAGGCTACTAAATGAATAAGATTTGTTAGATCATAATTAATAAACCCAAATAAAGTTAATATTTTTTGTATTAGAAACAACGAGTGGAAAATATATTCAAATCAGAATTCTAATTATGAATCACCACAAGCAAAATATGCAATTTTTTTTTACTGTATTCAATAAGTAAAAATCATAAATTGTAAAACTAAAAGATTACAGAAAGGCTACCTACATTTTTCAACCGATTTCAACAAAACTTCACTTTTTTTTTTTGGCATATCGTGTTTCTTATTGTCTTGCACACTTTTTTCTTTATTTTTACATTCAGAATGCTTTAAAAATTCCATTTACAAGACAATATTGTTTATAAAATTCTATTCAATCGGGAGACTCATAACGATTGAGAACAATGTTTTTGTTTGAGTTTGGGTTTGACCAATTCGTAAAAAAAAAAAAAAAAAAAACTAATTAAGACATGCGTGTCTGTCAACCTTAAACAATAATCTTTGTCAATTTTATTTTTCAGTCTTTATGATGGTGGATACTTGATCTATCTCTTACTGTTACATCCCGGGCAACGCCGGGCTCTACTGCTAGTATTCTATATCAAGAGATCTATTCACGACTGCCGTTGAGTTTGCTACTGTATATTCAGACCTAACAAAAGAAGAAATGAACATAATTCTTAGTGCAAAAAACTCATTCATAATGGGGACCAATGGATTAAAAACACTGAAGATAATTTTGACATCACCATGGGATATTTAGACTCTGCAGAGTCTTCTGACCTTGTTGGTCTATTTATACTATACAACTTAAACGCGCACCATGAATTAGACATTAAGGACATAGGGCTATACAGAGATGACGAGCTCATAGTAGTGAGGAGTTCCACAAATTTTAAAATAGATAACATTAGAAAGATAGGATATAGTGAATTCAGAAAACTAAATTTAAAACTACAGTCTATACAAAATTAAAAAGGGCAAACTTCCTCGACGTAACTCTGGACTTAATAAACAACCTTGACTTAATCTCTTTCCGAAAGTAACTGATATGTTGATATAATATGTTAACCTTTATGCCCCTTATTAAATTAATTGGTTTCGCCGTTTCCATGTAATTAGTATTACGAATGTATATACTTATAAAGCTCCGTAAATTTCAAGATTATTTATTCCAAAATTCGTTTGAGAATGCAACAGAGCTGGTTTTTTAGCTTCTGTTTTTGAAACATGGGAACTCTTATGTAGCGATGGAATGGTATTTTTAAAAATAATTATAATATAGGTTCTACTTAAGTATTGAGCACTGTTTTTCTTTTTTAAATAAAAACAAAAATACTAAAGAACTTTGAATTATTAACCTAACGGTCCTTTCCTGTTTTCTATATATTTGCACACACACACACACACACACACACACACAGATATATATATATATATATATATATATATATATATATATATATATATATATATATATAGGGCGATTTGTGTATGCTTGCTTGTATTTTTCACGCACACACGCTTTGTATTTATTAATGTATATTTCTATACGTGTGTATGTCTGTATTTGTGTGAAAGTTTTTATATTTCTTTGTATATTTTCATGTTTGTTTTCGTTTTTTTTTATATTCTTGTTTATATATATACTGTATGTGCGTGCATGTGTATGCTTGAATTTCTGTATCCGCGTCTGTGTGTGTGTGAGTGCGCGTCTGTGTGTGTGTGATTGCGCGCCTGTAAAGAAAGAGGGCGAGAGAAAGGCAGAAGCAGAGATGAACTAATTATTCTACACTGTGACTTCGTTTCAGAGCCAAAAGAGAGGAGGAAACCCTCCAAGCCAAGAAGAGCTCCAGTCTTGCATCGTCAACGAAGCTCCTGGCTGCCCGGATATCACTGTAATGTCCTTCAATAACGCCTTTCATGGAAGAACAATGGGTAAAAAGAAGTTTTGAAATGTAAAGAATGCTATCTATCTATCTATCTATCTATCTATCTATCTATCTATCTATCTCTCTGCTTAGATCTATCTATCTATCACAGTTTGTTCAGATCTATCTCTCTGATTTTGTTCACCTTTCTGTCTTTCATTCTCCTCCTCTCTTTCTATATCGTATTCCATCTCCTTTTCTGAATCATTACCCATGCTTTCTATCTATCTATCTATCTCTTTCTGCTCATCTTTCTATTTATTTATCTCTTACTGTTCTGTATATAAGTCTGTTGATATCTATCTATCTATCTATCTATCTAAGTATGGTAGTATCAAGCCATTTACCTTGGTCTGTTAATATTTATTTATCTTTAGAGTAATGTTTGCGGGCAAAAATTATCTGGTCCATCGGAGCTTTTTTCCCTGCCTGCAACTTCCTCTCCTTTGTAACTATTGGCAATGTTTTTCTCCTTACTCTCTTTCCCAGTCCATGTTCTGCCATTCATTTATACAAGCTCATTGGGTAGATTACTCTCTGTTTACCTCAGTCCCTCTTGCCTTCAGTATGTCATGTGATTGTCAAATTCTCTAAGCCCCCTTTTCTTATTATGTGTCCCAGAAATTTAAACTGACTTTTTCTGATTCTAAGTATAAGTGCCTTTTCTCTTTTCATTTTCCTTAAAACGTTTCCGCGTATTTTGTCCATGGTATTCTCAGCATCCTTCTGTAGAACCACATTTCTGTTGAGTTAAGTCTTCTCTTCAACCATGAAGAAATTATCCAGCATTCACTGCCATATATTACATTGCAGTTCAGCTGTCTTTTCTTTACCAAACATTATTTGCTTATTGCCTTGAGAGTTCCCACTGTTGTTTCGTTATGGGAGTTGGTGGGATGAGATCTGTCGGAACAAAAATCCTCAAACTGATAAATTGATGACTCATCTTAGTATATCGTGAAAAGCTAGTCTTTTTTTTTATTATTATTTTTCAGAATATAACTAATGACGGTAAATACCGAAGTTGAACAGAACTTCTTGTCAACCTTTCTGCTTCCGGACAGAGAGGAACCCAGACGAGTCTATGTCGAAGGGCAGAGTATCGTCTGGGGAGGTAGACAACCACCCAACACTGTGTATGCGTGGTCTACGGGAATTTTTGTCCGAGGGTACGCGCGAGGAAAGCCCCACGTTAAAAGCCGGCCTTGTGGGGAGGCTTCGGGTAAATACCGAGGTTGAGCAGAACTGAAGTTCACGTTTAACTGTTATTCAAGTAGACTGCGTTCTCGGCTGTTAGTACCGTATTATTCTTCGGAATAAATTTCTACTAATTTTTATATGTGTATCGATACAACATATATATATATATATATATATATATAGCATAAAACAGTCTGTCGCCTCTGAGTGTTGACTTCAATATTCACTTTTATATGTGTGTGTGTGTATAAGAGAGAGAGAGAGAGAGAGAGAGAGAGAGAGAGAGAAATTTACTAAAAAATATTTGTTACAGAGCCACAAGAGTGAGGCAGACATGATCACAATGTTCATTAAGATTAAATACATTCACATGTATTTTCAACATTAAGTTTAAATTTAGTCTCACCTGTTCCTAAAATATACACAAAGACTGTCCATCAGTCACCTTCGCGAGTGATTTGTATTGACAATACATTAGGCCTTAACAATCATTTCAGCGACTATCATCTACATGCAATAGAGAACAGGATGTTTGTACAGTTGTTTTTTTTTCAATTCGAGCCATTGAAAGTGTTAATTTTTTTCAGGTGCTCTCTCGATGACCCATGCTAAATGGTTTCACAAACTGGACTCACCGCAACCGAAATGGCCAATTGCTCCCTTTCCAAGGCTAGAGTATCCTCTTGACCAATTTGAAAGAGAGAATCGAGCTGAAGAAGATCGATGTTTAGCTCAGGTGAGATATGTTTTTATTTTTTTTTATTACTTGAGTCTCGTAGATACTCCCGTCCCGTCAAAAATCTTGAATTTTAACTTTCTCTATTTTTGTGATCGGAGCCACAATAACGGAAATGTTACACGCAGAGTAGTACAAAAGTAACGTCATTTTTTATTTATTAACTTTTATTGAACAAAAATAAATTACAGTGGTTTTAGATGGCTTAAGATTATCAATGGCTTACGCGTTCGGGATTGGTTAAATCTTAATTTCGAGCTGAGGTGGATAGAACGACGTGGGGTGGCCACCACGATCATCTGACCTAACACCACCAGACTTGGGGTGTACTGAAACATCATGTTAACAAGCTCAAACCGAAAAGAATTCTTGAATTAAAACAAGCAATTTCTGATCAATTTTCTGACATTAATGTAGAAATGTGTCAAATGGTTTGTAGAAGTGTTGCTGATAGTGTTTATCGTTGTATTGAACACGAAGGGGAGCATTTTGAATATGTTAAATAGTTTGTTAATCATAGCAAATCATCTTGTTTTGATGTGACAATACTTATAAATTTTCTTAAACGATTGTAATATATTTTTGTTCAGTGAAAGTTTATAAATAAAAAGGTCATTACTTTTGCTGCACTCTGTATGTAAAATCTTAAATCAGAAAAAAATAGATTTTTGAAACAAAGAGTTTCGTAATTATTATAAAGCAGAAAACATTTTTCAAAGAACAGGTAAAGTTTAAAAAATAGTTGGTTGTGCATTTTTACATTTTTAAATATGGCCGATCATGACTATCTACAACATCTTGTATTCTGTTATTCCCAGTAACTTTTTAGTCTTTACCATCCACATTTGCCTCTGTTTTGCCATCCATTAACACAAACACGTTAAGTGATTCGCTATTATTCCCGGCTTTTCTTGCCTTTAAGATGTCTTGAGAGTGTTAAATTCTTCAGTTTTCCATTCTGCATTGTGTTGTTGCCTTTTCAATGTAAGTATAGCTGTCCATTTAGTTCCTATTTTCCCGAAAACTTCCTCTTTACTCGTATTCTCAGTATCCGTCCGTAAAATCTCATCTCTGTCACTTCTGTAGCAATGTGGGGCTACATGTTTGTAATGGACGAATTTGCTATAACAACGGATGCGGTTAAAAATTCTGACGAAGAGGTTGAAAAGTTTCAAAACAAATAAATCCAACATTTTCAAAAAAAAAAATGGAAAAAGGAAGAATTTTAATACATTCAAAAGAACTGGTGTCAAAACGTGGAGGTATTATGTGTCACGGGGCTGGTCGAAATTAAGACGGCCTTTCGGAAAAAGAAAACAAATCCTGTTGTTTTCGATACTACCTCCTGGAGCAAAAGAGAAAGGGGTTTATTGTCCTGTTTGTTTGTTTTGTCTTGTTTTTTTTTTTTTTGTTTTGTTTTTTTAATTCCTGAACAGCATCACCTAGCTGGTGTCGTGACATACAAAGTGTGGGTAATCCCCACATTTCTTATCTCTTCTTCTTTTGCGAAAAGATTGTCCAGAATTCACTCCTATATAGGAGGCCATGGATGTGTGGGCAATATAATGGATAGCGGTTCGGAATGGAAAATCTGAGAGCCGAGTTCGAATTTCAGTCAAGTTTGTTATATTTACTTAAGTACAAATAGTATGAATCCATCTCTTCTCCCCCATGTATAGGTTAAATATAACATATATATAATATATATTGCGAGTGAATATAGCGTTAACATTTTTTTAGAGATAACAATAATTTTTAAAGATAAATGTCCTACAATTTGAAAATCTACTGAATGTTATAGCATTAAGGAGAGAAGATCTGTATAATATAGTAATAGACAACGGAAAATATGACACAGAAACCCGAAGTTGTATAGAAATAGCGAAAGTTACCTTCAAGAAAATAAGCAAAGTATTAAGAGAGAGAAATTTTTTTAGAATCAAAGAAAAGTGAGAAACTACTAGATCTGATCTTCTATCGGTTGATTGATTGATTATTTCATTTTTTTATGATTTATTAAACCTTTTTGGGTTACTTAAATCCCAAACCTATTTTAGATTGTAAGAAGATTGTAAACCGAAACATTATGGATGTTTTGAATATATATATATATATATATATATATATATATATATATATATATAACATTCAATAGGTTTTAAGAAGATTAATCCTTTTTGTTGTCAGGTTGAAGATTTGATTGAAAAATATAATAAACTTGATCGCCCAGTTGTTGGAATCTGTGTGGAGCCCATCCAGGGAGAAGGTGGCGACAACACGGCGTCTCCTTACTTTTTCCAATCACTTCAGAACATCACCAAAAAGGTAAGTCGGTATTAAATATATTCTATATACTTTAGAACGTATAATTTTCTTTGTCATTTTGTCCATCTGTAAGTCCATCCTGATCAATCAATACCAAAATTAAGAATTACATATTCGATAATTGTTAAGATTCTAACTTTTCTGGTGACAGATTGGAATTATTTACGTGCTTAAAAGATTACCGGGTAAGTACGAACGGTGCCAACATTCAATATTTATTTGACTATTAATCCCCCGGCTCAAGGCTCAAGAGCAACTCAAGGTAGAGGGTTATTTATGAGGTTGTTTTAGGGAAGGGAACAAGAGGTACATATTATGAAGATATGTAGGATAGAAGAGATTAAGACTTTTGGGAATCCATTTAATAATGCGACAGTTCTAGGGAAGAAGCTGTCCGAGTGGAATTTCCTCCTCATCAGTGGAATATAAAAGGAATGAGGATGAATTGACTCGGTGTACGTGGCTTGGTGGGTCTCAGTTGTAAAGGTTTGGACTGGTGAAACCAAATATTGCAGTTCCTACGAACATCTGCCATGAGAATAATAATTGTATAGCAAGGTTTCGTCTGTGGCAAACGGGTCGCAGAGTGGGAAATAATTCATCACACACTTATTGAAAATATTATCAAAGCGACTGAGAGGATCGCATATGTAAAGAGGTAGCTCTAAAAAAAACGGAATTCGAATTTAGCGCAAAAAATCTGATGTAAGTGCACATTGTGCTGAAGGCGCCACTAGTCGACAATATTTTGAGCCAATCTGCCACGTCGTGTTGATCTGGATTGACGGATTTTTTTCCTTTGTTTTATTTTATACTTTCTGAAAGTTCATTTACCGATTTTCGAGATGATGAAAAAAAAGAGTATAGATAAAATTTTGTTTTACTTTTAGGGAAAGCTACTGCTGAAACGAACAAAAATAAAACGGCAAACATTTAAGGAAGGAACTTTAGGCAAAGCACAAGTGTATAAGACGTTCGCATTTCAAAAGTGATAAAATGTCACATGAAAACCGACTGCGATCTAGCTGATCACCAGTATGCCGAAAATTATGAAAAATTGAGAAAGTTCGTTATGTAATTAATTAATATCATAATCGGAACATCGATGAAGTATCTGAAGTGATTTGTTTGACTTCGATTTTATGCCAGCTGATGTTCATAGAATTTAGACTGACAAAACAGTGCTACATATTTTTTTAATCGTCTCACCACAAGCAAGGCGATAACGCCACTAAGACGCAAGGGTTTTCCGAGAGTTAAAGAACACAGGGAGAAAAGAAGTTCTGATAAAATTCTAATGTGTAGCTGTAACTGTCAACCAAGATTCATTGCATAATCAATTTTAAATATAAATGTTTCGTAAAAGCATTATTATTTAACCAATTTTCAAACGGAATCGATGCAATGGCATTCTGGACAGTGTTAATTAGGTACCTCCACTTTTTTTATTAAAATTTTCGATACCTAACGTTTAAAATAATTTTTTTTTAAATGAAAACGCATTGTTGAATATTTCTTTTTAGCTTTAATTGAAAACTAAACAATTAAATTGACTATTTCCAGTAGGTAAAATACTCTGTATTTAAAACAGAAATTATATAGATTGGAATGTCAAATATTTGCACGATTTAAAAAAAGATTTATTTACTGGCGGCCATTTCTTACATTTTAACAAGATTTTTTTTAAATTGATTTTGGTTTTAAAGTCTTCCAAAAATAAAAAAAATATATATTTGTGATGTTATTTGAGTAAAATTAGCAAATTTAAAGTTAAATTAATCTGATTTGAATCAAATATTACTTATGGCATATAAAAAAAATAATATACCAGCATTTCTTAACAACGGGGCCTGTTTGTCTTATGTCTTATTGACGTTATCGATGAGCTTCTAAGTTTTTACAGCTAGTATGGATGACCAGAAATCTCATAAATTTACGAAAATAAATGCATTTTTTGGTTTATAACTACCTAGGAATTTTTACAAATTAACATTTTCAGTTATTATTTCATATTTTATTGACTTTTAGTTACTTTTGAAGATGCTTTAAGAAAAAACAATAAAATTTAAATAATATAAAATGTTCTTAGATTAATTTTAAAATTTAATAACTGAAATGAAATACCATGATAGAGATAACTCAATAATTTATCAAATATTATGGTGTTTTATTTATTCTTAATTTTTACTTTTTAATATATTTTTTTCATTTTATTCTTTATTATTAATTGTTATCATGATGGTTATTTTATTATTAAATTTTTATAGTACTTTAAATTTTATTGTTAATTACGTAATTGTTTGAACTTTTATTATTTTAATCCAATACCCTAAGCAATTTTTTTAAAAGTAAAACTTACTTTGAAATTTGGAAGGGATGATTTGCAAAGACGTAAACGTTGAAACAGAACTGAGTAATGAAAGTGAAAGAATTGCAGAGCGCCAGTCAACTCTTAAATCACGTGACCTTTTAAGGATAATATAATGAATGGAATATCATAGTTACAAAATGGGAATATTTGTACACTAAAAAAATTAAAATTAAAAAAATATTGGGTATAAACGACTGTTATGAGCTTTTCAATTTTTGATTAGTAAATGTAATAATTTTCACTTAATAACAATATTACCTCACCCCCTTAAAGTAATGCGGAATTTGGTACGATTTTTATATCATAAATTATTTAATTAAAATTTTAAAAAAAATGAAAACAATTCTTGTAAAAATTAATTATTCATCGAAAAAAGCTCTTCTTAAGACAATAATGTCCTTAATAATTCTTATTTATAAAAGCAATTAAAAGTTTTTCTATAATGTCATAGTTTTATTGTATTTTTTATTTTACAATTCAGAGCCGATTTTCGGTGAGTGGATTAACTGTTTAAAAAAGAGAATTGATGATTTGTACTCTCCATGGAAAATTAAAAAAAATTTCGCCCTAAAAATTGAATTTCTCGAAATTTCAAGAAATTATGTAGTGGGGATGAAGTTGGGGGTAATATATGTAAAAAAAAAATATTTTTTACCAAGATTTTCTATTAAAAAAATTCAAAAATAATTTCATTCATTTATAAATAAGTCCTGAAAGGTTCATTAAAATCCGACAATTATTTGATTTCTGCAAGAATTTCAAAATCAATGTGTTTTTCTTCTGAAAAATGGCGCAAAAACACTAATCGTAAATATTACGTCGACCGCTGACGTAAAAAACACGATATTTAACCAAAATTTAGAGCCTAAAAGGATTTTAAAAAATTTCAAAGAATAACAAAAAGATACTTTAGCCTGTCCTCTTAATAATAACATAAACATTTTGATGATAAAACTTTCTTTTTATTAAGTTTGGGGACTTTTTAACCATGCTATACTGTTTTTCAGCGAAAAAGTGGAGCGACCTAGTGTTAATGAATTCAAGACCTCATAGTCATCGGTGATTTTTCTAGCTGTACTATAATAAATACTATGATCCCCTGGAAGTTGATTCAGTACTCATTAATCAATATACAGTTAGAATTTTATTTTAGAGAGATTACACGACATCTTCCCTTCATCTTGGGACGTATTACTGAAGATATTGTCCACCTGGGAACCACCCGCAAATAAATAAATAAATTATTGCAACAATATTCAGTTATAATTTCATTATACTAGTTTTTCATTAAATACGACATGTTGAATTAATAGTTAATTGTATGTGAATACAAAGTTAATTTATTATCACTTATTTCAACAGCAGCTTTAACTTTATTAAATAATTTTCGGAGACAATTGTTATTATTATTATTTTATATCCTGTTGTTTTCAATTCTCTCTTTGTATTGTGAATGCCACTGAAAGTCTGTTTCATTAATGAAGGAGAATTATAAATGAAATTTGTTGAATAATATTGAAGATACAGAAAGAAGAATTATAAAAGACAAAATCCATTTTACCGTTACAATTTCTTTCTTTCTTCTGTTTCTTTTTCAATTTTCTGTTCATTTCTCTTCTTTCTTTCTGGTTTTCTCCCATCTAAATGAAACAGACGTTAAACACTCGAAAGCTTTTTTCCTTTTTCTTTCCTTCTTCTACATCCTGTTTTTCTTTTCTTGTTTCTTTTAGTTTCCCTCCTTTCTTTCTTCTTTACTCCCATTTCACTGAAACAGACGTTAGAAGATTGCTCGCTTTCACTTTCTTTCGCTCGCTTTCGCTCGATCGATCATTCATTCATTCATTTTCTTTCTTTCTTTCTTTCTTTCTTTCTTTAACCAGGCACTTTTACTTCTTTTATCGTAATCAAACCAGACGGATCCATTGTTTATCTGAGGTAATAGCAGGGTGTACGGACATATGAAAGGAGGAAGATGAAGATACCTCCTAGAAATACACATTTCCCTATTTTCTCCCGATTTCATTTTTAGGTTTTTGGTAAATACAACTTATCTTAGTCTGACACAAGGTTACCGTTATGGGGGGGGGGTATGGGACTCGAACTCACTACATTAGTAAACTGGTCTGCAGAAAGAGTTTTCTAATTATCGGTCGACGATAGGTATACATTTTTTAGGTTTAGTACAATTTTGGGTTTGTATATTTTAATGTCGAACGCGTCATATAAGCTGTGAATAAATAAATGGCAAGACGGAAAACTGTGTTGTGACGCGTTCTGTTAAGAAAAGAACGTCTTCAGGTAACGATTTGATGGAATTAACCTCCCATAAAAAAGAGAAAAATAGAAGCTTATGTGAATGTAACGAACTCGATTAGCCGACACCCATTACATCACAGCGCATGTTATATAATAGAATATGCCAACATTTAATTTAATTTGAATTTTTAAAATATACATGGATTTGAATTGGAGATTTTAAAACCTTAAAATAAGTGCGCGTGTATGGGATGATTCAAAATCTAATACGTTTCTTGTATTTGCTGTTGTAATATTATTGCACTCATGAAATTAGACCAACAGACGTTGTCCTTTCCGAAGAGAATATTTTTCCTATTTCCAAGTACAATAAGACGAATATAGTATATCTTTTAGAATTTCTACTGGTAATTTGAAGGTCCTGAGTGAGAACGTTTTTAGATATTGTGTAGTCCAGCATTAGAGAAAAATGCGACAATTTCGTAAGCCTAGGCCGACTGATCCCCAGAAATTTACCGTGCATTTGTGAAGTAAGTGCTAAATTTGCCAAGCAAATTTCAGTTGGAGTAATTCAGATGTCAGCTGTGTAGGCAGAATGGGTCAAAAGTTGGGGGCACGGATCAACCGACACGTACTAGCCATTATTCGCATGGTTAGAGTGAACAATTTCCATAGGTGTTATAGCTGAGCATTTGATTAAAAACCAACAATGTTCTCGGTCTTATCGCCCGGACATGCTATCAGTGCTAACACCGATTATCACCTGAATGTTTTGGATTCAGTATATATTAAGTCCTACCAACCATCTTTCTGTAAGCACAAGGAGTGGATGGTGGGCTTAACAGTAGTTAGACTTAAATGTTATATTTTTTGTTTGCATATAACATAAGTCTCGATGTGTATATTTTTTGTCCTTGGTCTTTGATCTAATGAGAGAGGACTGACAAACAATTTCAGCTGTTTTTTAATCATTATATTTCGGTATTACTATTTTATGGTAATATATATTTTTTGTTACTCTTCTTTTGTTGTGAATTCTTTTTTTGTTATGAATGGCCTTTTAATATGTCTGCTTTTATTACTCTAATATTTTTTTTACTCCTGCAAATATATTTAAATAAAAATTATTTTCATAGCCATTTCTTTATTATATGATAAGTAATAAATATTGCATTATAGTTGATTCACATATTTTTATCATTTGTAAATATAAAATTATTCTTGTAAATGAACAATCTAATAAATAAATAATTTTTAACATTTTTGCTGTCAATTCTCGAAAAAATGTAGAAATCTACTTTCATATGTTTGTTTTTCTTTTAAATTCTAATAAAACAATAAAAATTACCAGGGGAGTATACAGTAATAGTGGTGTTAAAAAAACGCCCTTTTCACACATCGTTTTTTGCGGGTATCTTTGTTAATCTTTGCCAAAATAATATTTATATGAATTACGCTTTGTGTTATTTTCTTTTGCAGAACAGAATCAGTTTTATGCTTGATGAAGTGCAGACGGGATGTGGGGCCACAGGCAAAATGTGGGCGCACGAGCATTTAAATTTAGACGAACCCCCAGATCTGGTGAGCTTCAGTAAAAAAATGTTGACAGGCGGATTCTATTTTCGGGAGAATCTCATGCCACAAGAGGTAAGATATATATACGACCAAATAAACAATAATAAAAAAAAACAGCCTGATCAGCCAAAAAGAAAAGCAAGAAAAAAAATACATTGAAAAAGTCATTGAAAACCAAATAGCCCAAGAGGACACATACCAAAATAGAAGCAACACAAATGCTTTTTTATTTTTACAGCGAGGTTCACCCTTTACAAGGACGGGGTCCACTCGAGGTAGAGGGTTACGTTTGGAGGTCATTTGTGTGCATAGGAGTGGAAGATAACGCTTAACCCTAGCCTTGGATAGGTTAAGATTGTAGTGATCGAGAAACATCTTGTTAGGAGTGTTATATTCCGTATTTAGTTACGTGGGCGATGTGAAAACAATGTGGGCGAAATACTGCGTTTGGTTGCAAACAATGAAATTCAGAATCGAAAGAACAAGAAAGACTGTAGATATATTTTATAGTCTCTTTTAGTGAGGAAAATAAGAACAAGTAAAAAGTTCGTATTTAAGAAGTTGAGGGAAAGGTACCCTTTGACAAGGCGTCGGACGAGAGTTCATTAGCAGCAGTGGTCACATGCTTCGTTTCGTCGCCGGGCCAGTGTGTCAGGAGCGAGCGACGTGACCCTTCTGCCTCCGCCGTTGAATGGCACTCCTTTTGACTTTCCCGTGTTGAACTTATACACGCCTATCGGCTCCAAATGGCAATTTTTTGAATACGCGGGAGACGGTCGATTGGTTGATTTAATTCTTTTCATTTTTTTTTTTCGAGTTTATCCCAAACGGAAGTATCTGCGTCGAGCCTATGCGTAGACGTGTAGTTTTCATTTCGAGTCGGGGACTCGTGATGGTAACTTCCGTTTATCGAAGCAGGGCAAGATCTCATCTTGTAACAGGAGTCGGTTCCACAGGGCAGTGGTTCGCAAGAAAAAGCTTCTTATGTGAAACTTACTTCTCACCGATGGAATATGCAGAGAATGTGGGTGGTTTGCTACTATGTAA